TTATGACTATATCAAAATTAGAAAAATAAAAATAGGCTGAACATAGGACATTATTTCAGGAATCATGATAAGAACAGAGTATCTTTTTGGAAATAAGATATAGTGTGAAATTATGTTTAATTTTGCAACACCATTATAGAATAAAATGATTTATTTTCTGTGTTACTTGATTGGTTGTTGCAGTCATCTGAGTTTGATAACCATATTTTAGATAAGTCATTTTTGAATAGAATTTTGAAAATATGTAGAGAGTTTTTCATCTTCGAGTAGAAAATATTTAAGTAAGTAGATATTTTAGAAGATAAATTTGTTTTTAAGCATGTAATTTATTTAGTTTTTAGAAAAAAAATACATCTGTCTCTTCCAAATTATTAACAATGACAATCACAACTTTAATTAAAAACTTTAAATTACTATCTCATTAAGCTGTTAATAGCTTGGCGTATTTTAAAATTGACATATTTAGGTATAAAAAATAAGTGGTAAAAAGGACTACTAGAAGTAAAACATAAGTTACAGTTTTTAAAATTAATACATGAAATTGTATAATTTCAAATATATATATATATATATACACAGAATACTTAGATGGCGTAAGCAGAGCACCACCAGTCTTTGAAGACCCTGTCCAGGAAGATGCAACCCAGGAAACACTCATTTCATCTCCTGTAGAGTCTCCTTCCCCAAAGATCAAAAGTGAGTAGCAAATTATAAAGCCCTTGACAAGGTAGCAAGAACTTTGTGTTTAATTTTGTCCTTGGACAGAAAGCCATGCTCCCAAGCCAAAGGAGGATGACTCTACTTTGCTTCCCTCAGGCCTGCCTTTAATTGTTTTTGGTGAAACATTCTTCTAAGTCATGTAACCCTGGTCTTTCCACTTGCTGTACAGAGGTAACACATGGTTGCTGTGAAGCCGAACACTGCGACACTGATGTGTCAGATGTGAGGATGGTTACCAATGGTGGACAGTGTTTGGTGGAGCTCCCCAATTAAAACAAGCTGGGGAGCAGGAGTGGCATCCACTTCCATAATAGCTTGCCTCCGGAAACCCTGTGAACCTGGAGAAAGGACGAAAGTTATACAGGTGTCCAGGACTTTTGTTCATAGGGTCGCTATGAGTCGCTCGGGACTCAACCACACTTAACAACAACAACAACAACAACATGTACAAAAAGGTTAGCGTGTGTACTTTATATTTAATGCATTCATTCAGTCGACGGTCACTGAGATCCTGCTGTTTTTTTACACTATTACTGGCCCAGATACACTCTGGGTAAAGTTAGTGGTCTGCTTCATTCTGACCCTTGGAATATAGCAATGAACAAAACAGAGCAATCCCTGAAATCAGGTTTCTGTTCAAGTCGATATTTCACAGTAGATTTTATTTCCCTAAAACATATTTTTTAATTACAAAGTCAAAATATTACGATCTGGATTATAACTGATGGAACATATTTCAGAATAAATTATAGGTCCAAAGTATTATTCTGAGGCCTTAGGAAAATGCATATTAGATGCAATCTATAGAATATTCATATTTTGACAGATCATTCTTCTTATTTTGTTGTTTCTTCTCCTGTATACTGTCATTAGATTCGGGATATGTATCATCTATCAAAATTCTGTTTTATAATTTCTTATATAATTGCTTCAATAAATTTTACTACTTTTAACTTTATTGAATTTAGGAAGTAGACCCTCTGCTTTATTTTAATTTTTTTAATTATAAATGAATTGTTGAATGAATTCTGCTAATGAAAAAAAGTATAAATTCTAAAATATCTAAAGTTTTTGGAATTACAATTCTAGATACTTATTTTTGCTACTCAAATGCAACCCTTCAAAATTTATTTCTATTTTGAAAAGAGGGAAGAATCCAATATGGAAACCTTGGAGCTTTCTGTTTTGCCATTTCATATGACTTGTTCTGGTTACCTTTGAGTAGCTTGCCTTCAGGTGACTGGTTCCTCTTGTTTGCCACATTTTTATTTCTATCTTCATACTAGTTATATTTTTTACTATGTAACATTCACTTTTTTACCATCTTTTTTAGTGACCTTAACCCCTTGGAAAAACCTTGTTTTCTTCTCACAGGTGAAACTGTGACTGGAGAGTTATCCAAACTCTTGGATGAAATAAAACTCTGCCAAGAAAAGGATTATTCTTTTGAAGATTTGTGCCATACTATATCAGACCACTATCTGGATAATTTGAGCAAGATTTCAGAGGAAGAGCTTGGGAAAAATGGAAGTCAGAGTGTAGTAAGTAAAGTGTGTGTGTGTGTGTGTGTGTGTGTGTGTGTGTAGACCATACATCTGTCTTTGGAAGCTTAGTGTGCATATTGAAGGCATGAGATGTCTGCCATTACCCTGTCCTCAGATTCTTCCTGAGTCAAAGGTCAAGTTATCTATTGCTCTTTCCTTGATACCTGTTGAGGTTATAGTAGTTTCATTGCTTCTTTGAGGGTAACAGGTGCTTTGATAAATGACTTAAAACTTGTGAGGATCTCCTCTCTGTACTCTGACTTTTTTGCACATAGCTTCATAATTTCTTTGACTCTATTCTTCTAGACCACATACCTCTGGAAACTCTATGAACTTGGAGAAATGTTGATAGTTAAAGAAACGCTTAAGGTCGTGCTGGACTCGACGGTAATAAACAGCAACATACTCTTTTAGTTTCACTGGACATAATTTCCTTAGTTCCAAAGGAAGATTAACACCTTTTTGTCCTTCTTTCCCATTTTCTCAGTAAATTGAGTTTATCCATCTTTTGAAAGAGAGAGAGAGCAAGCCATCGGTAATTGTTCATTGCCTTTGAGTTGAGCATGACTCATAGTGACCCTATGAACAAGCCCCTTTACAACTATCGACATTTGTCTAAGTTCATAGAATTTCTGGAGGCATGTTATTTAGGAAGTGGATGCCACTCCTGCTTCCAGATCTGTAATGATACATCTCTAATCATTCCTTACGTCCTCAGAGGGATTGTTTGGCAAGTTTGATCTGCATATTTTTTTACAGTCTTACAGAAATTCCAATAGTGTTCTCTTCTATAAACTCAGAATCTACATCATGGTTTAGAGATTTTGCCTTGTTTGGACTTTCCAAACATAATTTACATTATAGGAAAGAAAAACTCTAGGGATTTAGTTATGACCTGTAAATGTATTTTTATGTATAAACCCATTTTATATCCTATACTTGTTGTTTTTAAGTTGATTCCAATTCTTAGTGACTCTAGAATAGAGTAAAATTTTCCCATTATGTTTGCAAGGCTGAAAATCTTTACTGAAGTGGGTACAGTTTTCTCCTGAGGAGCTGCTGGCGGATTTGGACTGTCAAGTTAGCAGCTAAATGCTTCACCACCATGCCACCAGACCTCTTTCTATCCTAAAGAGGATTTATATTAGACTCTGGTATTAACGAAAATACATAACTATAAGAAACTTTTACTCACATTTGTTGTTGTTGTTGTTATGTGCCGTCGAGTCATTTGCGACTCATAGTGACCCTATGTACAACAGCCCTAAACCCTGCTCTATCCTGTGCCAATCGCATTGCCTCTGACACACCCATCCCGATTACCCCAGTCACTGAATCAATCCACCTCATAGAGGGTCTTCCCCTCCTGCGCTGTCCTTCCACCCTCCCAAGCATGATGTCCCTCTCCAAGGACCTGTCTCTCCTTACAGCATGTCCAAAGTATGTCAGGCGAAGCCCCAGAATCCTTGCCTCCAAGGAGCAGCCTGGTTTAACTCTCTCTAGGATGAATCTGTTTTATTACAAAAATAGTATAGTTATTAAAAAGCCAGTAATAGAGATGGGAGTGGCATCTATTTCCTAAATAACATGCCTCCGGAAACTCTATGAACTTTAATAAATGTCAGTAGTTGAAGAGGGGCTTCAGGCCTTTTGTTCATAGGGTTGTTTTGAGTCATGATTGACTTAAAGGCAGTCAACAAGATGGTAAGTATTGGGGAACTCTGTTGTTACGTTACTAAACCAAGGACTGCATGCCTCTGATGGTTTGAATCCACCCTCTTCCCCAAGGGAGAAGGGTAAGCAGTCTCTTCCCATTGTGATACCTTGAAACCTGGTGGAGGGTTGATGTGAGTCAGAATGAACTTGATGGCAGTGAGGTTAAGATAATTATACCATGTAATGTATAAAACTTAAGAAAAATTATGTGAAGCACAGTTGTTGTCTGATATGAGAAAGCTTTGTTTAGTTATTTAAATGAGTTGTGACATAGTTTCCTAAGAACAGCATTGGCTAGTCCAGTTCAGGGAATAAACCTCTTATAGTCTTTGTCTCTTCTTATTTGCTTCACTTTCTTCTGTGAAATGTAAGTTTAGTCTTCCAAAGAATTTTTTAGGAATAATTATTTATATGCAGAAGTACTTTTTTCCTTTTCTTTCAATATCCAAAGCATATTATTGCAGGTCCGAGAGAGAAGGGATAAGTGTAAGGAGCTGCACTCCCATCCCAAAGGCAGGTAGTTCGAATGCACCACTTGCTCTGCTGGAAAAAGAGGGAGAATCTCCTCTATGTAATTAACTACTGAAAAACCATTGTTGGGTCAGCTATGAGCTAGTTCTGACTTGAGAACACACACACAAATGGTATGATAAGTAAACAGCTTTTACTAAGTACCGCAATATATTTATTAGTAAGTAACATTAAAAATTATTTTTATATATGTATATCTATCTATCTATCTTATCAATTTATCAGCATCCATGGAAACAACAGTAAATAAATTGAATGACATATCACTACATCTGCTGCAAAAAACCTCTTTAAATAAGTGTTAAAAAGCAAATATGTTACCTTGAGGACTAAGTAGTGCCTGTCCTGAGCCCTTCTATTTGTAGTCACCACATGTGATTATAAATGCCAGCCAGTAAATATGGGTAAATAATAACATTGCTACGTAGAGAGAGCTCTATTGGCCTAGTGGATAGAAAGTGATGCTACCAAGCCAAAGGTGGATGATTTTAATTTGTGGTCCTCAAGCTTAGTTTTAATTGATTTTGATCAAACATTCTTCTAAGTGGTATAGCACTGGTCTGTCCATTTGTTGTACAGAGGTAACTCATCATTGTTGTGATGCTAAACACTGAGACACTGATTTATCAAATGCGATAATGGTTACCCATGCTGAAGAGTGTTTGATGAAACTCCCAGATTAAAACAAGCTTGGAAGCAGGAATGGCATCCACTTCCAAAATAGTTTGCCTCTGGAAACTCTATGAATGTGGAGAAACAATGAAAGTTATGCAAGAACTGTTTAAGTCTTTCATTCATAGAGTCACTATGAGTTATCTATAATTAGACTGCACCTAACAACAACAATAACAATGATAGTTGATAACATTGAATTATAGTGTTGGAGGAGAATATTGACTGCCTGAAGAACAAAAAAGTCTGCCTTGGAAAATATACTGCCAGCATAATTCTTGGAAACAAGGATGGCAGTGTTTTACCTTGGGACATGCTAACTAGAGTGACTAGTCCCTGGAGGAAGTTGTCTAACTTGCTTGCAAAGTACAGAGTCAGTCAAAAGGAGGAGGTAAGGGTCCTCAACAAGATAGATTGACACAGTGGCTGTAATAATAGTCTCAAACATGGTGGTGATTGTGAGGATTGTACAGGATCAGGGATTATTTCATTCTCCTTTATAAGGGGTCATTATGAGTCAGAACTAATATACCACTAGTACCTGGCAAAAACTACTACTCTTAGTCTAATAATTCTGTAAATTACATGGACTGTAAAAGAAATTTGAAATTGAAACTGTAAAGAATTCATGTAAAATAGAAGTTCTAATATTTTTTGCCAGTATTTTATCTCTTGAACACCATCAAGTCTGTACACTGTTTGAAGACCATGGTTCTAATTTCATATCTAAAATTAACTCATTTGTTGTTGAGTTGGAACCTACTCATAGCTGATAGTCTAGAGGGTTTTTAGAGGCTTCAAGTCACATGAGAGGAGATTACCCGTTTTTCTTCCATAGAGCAGCTGGTAAATTTGAATTGTCTGCCATTGAATAAGCAGTAAAACTCCTCATCCACTCTACTACCGGAGGTTCCTAGTTTTTAACAAATGATCGTATGGGATTTTGACATTGTGAAGGTGATATAATTTGGGGAAAAGATGTTTAAATTTTTTTTTGGTAGCTTTGTGGTAATAACAAGAGAAAAAAATTGAATGCTCATAAGGGGAACTTAACTTAATCCTTAATATTTGAATTCTTATTCTTATATTCTTTGTTCCTTATGACAAAATTTAATATCTTTGTTCTTTTAAATATTATCAAATAAAACATTAAAGATATTGTGAAGTTTAAAAACAGAAGGCATATATGAGCAAGAGGAAATTATTTAACTTCTCTGCAAGAGTAGGGTTTATGAAGGGGTAAATGAGAGAGATAAGATTGAAAAGGTATAAAAAAGTCAAGTCATGGATTATGTTAAATGTAAATTTTGTTATTTTTAGAAAATGAGAAAAAGATAAAGATATTTGGAAGTACAAAAACATGCCATTGGAATTGGCCTTTTAGAAGATTCACCTGGTAGGAACTTGTTCTCAAACATTTAAAACAAATTCTGTAACCTATGTTTTATTCTAGTTCATTCCTGGTTTTGTAGAATATTTTTTACTGTTCTTAAAAAATATTTTCCTAGAGTATTTTTATAAATAATATTCTTAAGTTATAAAGAATATTAATGGTGTGCTCATAGATCACCTAATAGAGACGGTTGCTACTAGGTTGTAATTTAGAGGATTTTTAATGGTATTATGAAGCATAGATCTCATCTTTAAGTTTATTACTCCTGCTTCAAGAAGTCTTCAATCTTATTGTGCAGACAAGAATAACTGATAAAATAAAAAAGTCTCTTGAAAGAGCTATCATTTTTGAGGTGTTTCTGATATGCTGTTCTGATCTTTCTTGTGATTTAAACCACCTTACCCTCACAAGGATCTTAACCGTGTAACTGCAGATTCAAGAAGTGACTCAGATTGCAGTTGCAGAGCTAAGATTTAGAATCAGAGCTAATGCCCTTAACTCCCAGCTTTATATCTGCTCTGTGACCAGAGGAATTTTTTAAAGGGGAATGATAAGTGAAGGTTCATGGCTATTGATGTTCTGGTTGTTAGGTGTCATGGAGTCAACGGAAACTGTAATGACCCTATGAACAGTGGATCCAAACCCTGCCCTATTGTGCACCATCTTTATCATCTCTGTTATTGTC